AAGCGGCTTGTCTGGAAACTCCGTTGTGTCGATCTGTGGACTATGACACCAAAATAAAACGATGTTACTTGAACAGAGTTATTCATAATGGTCCTGGGGCTAAAATGGAAGTTTTTCAAAACGTTAATTATTACTATCCAATATGTACATGTTAGAAAGTCGCCGAGGTCCGAACTGACCAGAGTAAATTGGATTCCATATAGGAACCTCTCCACACACACACACACACAAAACGTTTGTTTGTAGTTTAAGCACAAAATTACACAATGGGCTAGGTGTGCTCTGCCCACCACGGTTATCGAAACCCGATTTCTAACGGTAGAAGTCCGCAAACCTACTACTGTGCCACTGGTGGGCTAAAGGAAAAGAAAAAGAATCAAATTAGTTTTTCAAGAAAACATCCAAAAAAAAAGTGAAATTTGCAAACTGCAACATACACAACTCGTGTCTCAAGTGGACAAAGAGGTGTTACCAAAAATGCTAACACACAAAGCAAATTTTGTGAAAGTTAACATTAAACTGAAATATAACTTAGTCATGAAAATAACTGGCAATAAACATCTTTCTTACAAGTTCTTTAGCTTGTAAAAATACGACGCTAAAAATCGCATTTTCATACTCATGGTAGGCAGAACACAGATAACCCATTGTGTAGCTTTCCACTTTGCACCAGCAGTTATATTTTAATAGACCCCTCAAGTGCTAGTGGGGGATATTTCTGTTGAAAAACAACAACAAAATTACCCAATACGGTTTTTCTTAATTTGAACTGAAAATTTTTGGACATTTTTATTGGCTAAAAAGAAGGTATTTCCCGCACTCTTTTATCGTTTGGGCTATGAAAGGTGATTTGAAGTGGTGAGGTGACTGAAATCCGTCAGCACATCACGAGTTTAACGGCCAAGCACAAGAAGCATGGAAGTCTAAATGACACGTTGAGGTATTCATGAATCATTTAGAACCACCTTGGTAGATATTGTGCAGCAAGCCGAGTACAATATTATGCCTGTAACTGCTTTCAAAGTGTTCCTGTCTGCTCATCCTACTGCTGACTATCGTGATGCTTCGACCTTCCCTACCGAATCGCAGGTGAAATCGTTCTTATCTCAATTGAAAGCTGAACATAAAAAGGTGATAGCAGACGCATGAAAGGTTGGCAATTGCTTAATTAATGGTGCTGAGAATGTGGCTTTATTAATATATACTGAATTTACAACTAGCGGGTAGACCTTAATACTAGCTAGTATGTAAACTTGAGGATGCTGTATTTCACTTTAAAATGTATCAATTAACAAACGAAAACTTGTCTCGAAGCTGTCTCGAAAAGATACGTCCAAAACCACCCTCTTTGGGAGTTTCCGAACTGAACTTACTTTTAATAATCAACAAATTGTAGTGTAAAGATACCCATTGGCTCCTGAGAGAGACGGGTTAATTTAAAAGAAAAGAAAAAAAAAGATAATATGAAAAACTGTAATTTATTTAATATTCCATCTCCCCTACCAGTTATCCAAAATGTGTTTTTCACTTTCAAAGTAATTGGAAGATTATAGTCTAGCTGTGACGCAATTAAATAATCCTATTTATAGATTAAACTCCAGTGGTACCAACATGTTGAGGATCTAAGAACGGAATAACATCGCAAGGAGACACCAATGTACCTAGAAAGCTATAAACTCACAAACCAGGCTCCAGTGAGTGCTCAGATTCCATAAAATGAGTCAAAAGACGAGAAGAGAAAGATCTGCACCAATTAAAACTATTCATGATGATATAATAAAATAACAACAGGAAGAACAAACAATACAGAAAAAAAGTGTTAGACTAGACTGCATGTACAATGATATTGTGGAGGCAGAGTTTATGCTTGGTGTGATTAAAGTACATGAATTTGTAAAATATATTTAAGCTGTAGTTATATTATTTTATAGTCTTAACTTGTATGTTTCAAGTGCTGTATTTGAAAATAATAAAATCGATGTTTAAATGATGACTTAATATAAATATAATATAAATATACATAAATAATATATCTTTTATGATGTGGAGATAATATGTCAACTGCAGATAATTTATCAATTGTATCTTTATGACTCGGATATATCAGTGGGTTATATAAACTTAATTGATAAGTAGGGTAATTATAAACAAGCTAAATGCCTGAAATGCAGGCTATATGTGCATGTATAATTCAAAGGCCGGAAAATTATTAGGATTTAGTTGGTGCCCCGGCACAAACCTTTTTACCACTACACCACTGTGTATGAAATATTAGACTAAACGTCATAATAAATATTCCATCATCAGTTTAACCTAAAATGATCACAAAAATTATCAAGGAAAATATTGAATGACTGAAATGTTCTGGTACAAAGTATTTGTCCACAGTGCAAGTCAGTTATCACAGAAAGAGACGCACCTGTTTCTCTATCTGAAGTTCTAGAAGCCTATTCCCAGCCTTCCCGAAAAAAAAAAATGTTATAACGTGTTCTATCTTTGGGTGGGTTCTTTTGAATAATTCGGTGAAAAAAAATGCAAATTCCAATACATGTAAGGATAACAAATTAATTTATTTCTTCAATAATGTTCGCACCAGTACTAGACTACGTTCAGTTATACTTTTTAGGCCTAACTTCATAAACAACGTTTGAACAGATATTCTAAGACTCATGGTATATGTTCGCCTAACTTACAAACAAACCTGCAGACTTCTGCCCTTGTCAACCTTTTCTTTAATTTCATTCCCTTAAACCTTTCTTTAGACGTATTTACCTTACCTTTTACTCCTGGTTAAATCTCCCTCTTCAACCTTACCTATGCGAACATCTTTTTCTTCCCATAGCTATTTCCCCGTATGATTATTCTATTTTTCTAGGCTATTATTTTGCGTGCAGTTAGCCACATTTGCTACAGCAATTGCAAACATGTATATAATATGAAATTCGATTAATATGTATTTTGAATTCACTTGTCTTTCATTTTGTATTGAATTAACTTCCTCCCGTGTTTAGTTTTGTCAACTTTTTATAAATCAATTGTACTTTGTATTTTAATTTTGGTTTATAATGTATAAATTTCCATGACGTAAGTTTGAATTTCTTCGTTGGTATATTTGGTCATCTGATATGATTCTATTTTATTACGGTTTAATTTTGATTCTGTTTTTATTGTAATTTTGAATTTTTTAAATTTATTTTTGAGTTATCTTTTCACTTGTATTATTTTACCTGGCCATTGGAGCCTTTGTGTTGCACTTTCTCGCCTTTGTAGGTTCCATGACGTCATCTATGTGATCTCAGAAAGATGATCACTCTATGTTACAATCTACTTGTGCAAATTATTATGAGTTAAAATATTCTCTCCCTATATATGCTTATTTGAAACACTCGTTAGTGTAGGCAATCTAAGGATTGTGGGATATCTCACTAGAATTTTTCTCTCACTTGAAAGTATGATCTTTACTACCCTTGCTTTGGCCCAGTATCCCGTGCAGATATTTTAAGTCCTTTTTTTCACCCCAGCAATAATTTTGGTCAATCTATAAAACACAGAAGCCTGCCAGTAAGTTGGAGACTTACAATGTATACAATTGAGCTAAAATACATTGTTTTATTTGTCACTTAATGTTATTCGTTTTCCTTTGCTATCCATGTTCATTGATGTTATTGAACTTTCTTACAGTTGGTATTGAAGAATCTTGTAGTCTTGTACTTTAGTAGCATCGGTCGTATAGAAGTTTATTATTATCTCAAGGATGCATCTTCCCTATTTTTGCTTATGCGATGACTAAGTGACACTGGTTTCAAATGCACTCTGGGAGAATTTATTCTATTTTAAAAAATGTGGTTAGTTTTCTCAGTCTACACCAGAATTTTATCAAATCTCTTGATTCAGAACTATCTCCAGTTCTTAGAAAGAAGTGTTTTTCCGAATTTCTGTGTACTCGTCTGTATGGTGTTTATATATTTGTCTACTTCAGGTATTAGTAGTTGATTAGCTTCTGTTTATTCAGTTGAGGTCAGTTCAAAAATTCCCGTTTTTACTCTGCAAATCATTTTTCTGCATATCCATTTCTTGCGGTGAAATTATTTCCTATAAGAAACCAGTACAATGAGAATACCATAGAGTTAGCTGTTAAATAACCCAAACACTGTTATAAGATTAGATGTGGTAAATAAAATGTAAAACGATTTTAGTGAGATGTTTATAACATGTTCAACAAAATGAATCTTTATGCGTGAGTAAATACATATGTGTATTAACTGACACATGCCGAATGGTTAGACCTAATCTGAAATATTACGTTAAATTCTGGTAACCTTATTGAATAAAAGAAGTTGAGTTTTTGGAGAAGGTTCAGAGAAGAGCTATCAGGGTGGTTATCGGTTTGTATGGAGATAGGTTGAAACTTATTGACATATTAAAAAGAAAAAAGTAAAAAACATTAACCTGCTTTAATTATAAACATTAAAATTTAATAATCTATGAGCCCTCCAGTGGTGCAGCGGTAATTTTAAGAGCTTATAACCCTGAAGATTGGATTTCAATACTCGCAGTGGGCAGAGCACAGACAATCCATTGTGTAACTTTGCGCTTAACAACAAACAAACGATTAATATAAAAAAAATTGAAATTTCCGGTTTTCTATCAAAGGGGTTGCCGAAATATATTAAATAAATAAAATATCATTTCGTAGCATTCGTACTTTATATTTTTTAATACTTTTTGGTATTTAATAAATTTAAATCTAACAACTCTAGTGAACAACAACAAAAAACTTTCAACTATGAAATTCATTGATGTATCGTATTTTATTCAAGAATTTCACTTATTTAATATATATGTATATAATGAAGAATGCATTAAAATATTTCAAATCGAATAGAAACATTTAAGTACATGAAGTAAACAAAAGTGCCGGTGGCATTACTGCTTTTATTATTATTATTACTCTATTATTTTCACACAATAATATTGGTGGCGGTGCTATCATTTGTCCACCTACTTTTCTCTGTCTGTCATAGTAACATTCGTGAATTGCGTTTCGAAAACAAAATGGCATTGAAGGCGCTTGTTGGCATGAGTAAGTTTCACTTTTGTAAATAAAAAATTCGCTTATTTAATTATTGATAAACAATTTGTCAAATAACGTTTTTAAAGATACAGGAACAATATTTGTTGGGATATATGGCTTAATTCTATACTTGTAATTTTATACAGTTAGAATATACAAATCAGAATTTCCGGCCCAGTTGCACAGCCTGCAGTAGTAGTACTGCCTCTGTACTTTTACTAAGTTTTAGTTTTACGCTTTAGCTATACAACTACGTATTACTACTATACTAGTGAAATATGCTTAGCCCAGCCCAAAGAAGTTAGGCTAACATTTAAGAATTACATTTGTCATGATTTTTAAGTTAGATGATGCAAGAACTAACATGTGATATTTCTTTTAACTTATAGTACAAGACGAACGTCTCGATGACGTAATTTATTACATTTACAGGGATAAGAGGGGTGGGGTTTATACTAATTATTACTATTGTATAGGGCACGAGAAGTGTCAGGCATGAGTTATGTTTGAGAATTGTGATAGGAGTAAATTGTAAACGAAATGTGGTACTTTAAGAAAATATTTAAAGACAAGGGACGAACCTTTTGATCCACTAAAGCTGTCCCATCCATTAGACTATTAAAAACACTCGGCGATTTATCATTAAAATAATTATCAAGCTTTTCCTTAAACTCCATTAAATTAACTGTACCTTTCACATCTGAAGGCAATCCATTCCAAAAGTCAACTACTCTTTCAGAAAATAAAACTTTCATCAGTGAAGATGACACCTACTTTGACAAAATGTATATTTGTACCCCTTAGTGCTACCATTCTCACCATTAAGTATACATATAAACAAATAATCAATCAACGCTGTCAATTGCCTTAGCAATCTTAAACACCTCATTCAGACCCCCTTTAACTCTTCTTTTTTCAAGAGTAAGCAGTTTTAGAGATTTTAACCTGTCCTTCTATGACAAATTTTCCATCCCAGGTATCTTTGTAGTAGTCCTCCTCTGAACCCTTTTCAACAATTCATTGTCCTTTCTAAGTAAGGAGTCCAAGACTGAACACAGTACTCCAAATGTGGTCTAACCAGTACATTGCTTGGAAGGCTTAAAAGAGTGATGAACAAAGTTGTGTACTCCTAAACTCAAAATATCTGTGTAAATAGATTTTAGTATCCTAGTTGCTGTTTTTGTCACTTTGAAACGTTTAGCCAAAGGCATGAGGCTTTTAACAATCACCAAACTTAAATCATTCTCATTCTACACAACACAAAATATTTCAAAATTTTAACATGCTAAATATATCACTTTAAATTTACTAATGTTAAAATATATTTTTCACGGGTCAACCCACCCAGAAGTTGTCCAATTTCTTTTACATTAAGAAAGCATTTTCCAATGAATTATTTGAGCATATAATAAAACACATTAGGTTTATATATCAGTTGTCATACACACACCATTCGGGTGTTATTATGCTAGAATACAGATGTATACATGCCATTCTTTTATCAGCATAATAAAATAACATTTTATATATGAAAAATAACAGCCACATTCTATAACAAAATATATACTATAACCAACAGCTTCAAGCAGTATCAGCCTTATAGATAGACTGGTGATAAAAATATTACCCAACAAACATCCATGCTTTGAGATGGTGATTGCCTTAATGTAGTTTTTGTTTACAAATCAAGTACACATTTAAACTTGCCAATAATTATGAAAAAGTATTTGAGCCTCTAGTTTACCAACTAAACTAAACTAGCTCTGAGCTACTTATACCACCGCTAAAAGTAACTGTTGTGCATTTCAGTCATGCTAAGACCTGCTGAACAGTAACATATGGTAAATTTACATTTTTATTCTTTGAGTTACGTTATATTTTGAAATGTGAATGATAGTGTGATTAATTCCTAACAATTTAGTATAGAATATCTTGCTTGTGAAATAAAATTTGGCATCAACATTATTAATGCCTGTTCTCCTGTCATTTCAAAAGTGAGTGTTGAGCTTTGCCTGCATGCGCTGCTTTTCAAATGCAGCATGGGAAGCAGCCACTGTAAATGTGAGACAGATCAATGTTTAGACAGACACTACAGTTTGCAATATATATATAACATGGACTTCTCCATTATGCCACCAGCAGCCATGTACATTGAACACAAGATAACTTCATTGCTGTTGGAGTAAATAAACACAAGTTTACTGTGCATGAAAAATATTTGTTGATCATTATTTTGCTATTTTTTGGGCAGAACAAACAATTCTAAAGAAGTTAAACCGTAATTATATTATAAATTAGTAATTTATAATAATGCAAGCAACATAAATTCAGCATAAAAATTGGTATCATTAGTGTTAAATCAATGGCACAAGTTTTCAGAATAAGGGTTTAAAAATATAAACTTACAAATGCACAATGACAATTTGGCCAATACACAAACACTACTGCCCTCTAGGAAAACCTACTGTGTTAGACTTTTGAAGTACTGATATAAAAGTTTTTATTCAAGTAAGGATCGATTATTTTGTGAAGCAAATATATAAATGGTTTCATATGAAATGTATATTTAAGTATTATATGTTTTCTTTTGTAGAGATCATGAGTGATGTCATCAAGATGGTGAGAAAGAAAGGCGAATGGAAAGTGCTGGTGGTGGATCAGTTGGGTATGAGGATGATATCTGCTTGCTGTAAGATGCATGAGATAGCAGCGGAAGGAATAACAAGTATGTTATGAAACGTTATCAAATCACATAGTAATTCATATGTGCATTCTTCACCCTTCTAAAGTGCAAGACTGCTAATTTTGATTATTGATGTAAAAGTAAATCTAGTAACTACAACATAATGCAAAAACCTGAATAGTAGTTGTTCAACAAGAGTTGTGACATAAACCGTGTACGTCTTTGAACAATAATGTGATATTGTTCGAAAACAGTAGAATTAAATTTCTAATCTTGACAATCAGATTTGACATTATTGACAGCAAGGCTAAATTTTTTTTGTTTCATTTCTGTGTTACTATAAAGTTCTTGAACATTAGCAACAATCTGAGGGGTTCTTAGAAGCTTTCCTTTCATTGTAGTGGGGCCTGGCATGGCCTGGTGATTAGGATGCTTGACTCTCAATCTGCGGGTCATGGGTTTGAATCCCCGTTACTGCAAATGCTCGCCATTTCAGCTGTGGGGGCACTATATTGTGACGGTTAGTCACACTTTTCATTGGTAAAAAGGTAGCCCTAGAGTTGGTAGTGGATGGTGTTGACTAGTTGCTTTCCCTCTAGTCTGTCACTGTTAAGTTAAGGGTGGCTAGTGCAGATAGCCATGGTGTAGCTTTTTGGAAATTTCAAACAAATCAAACCTCATTGTAATATTAATCTTAATTAATAGTTTTTACTGAAAGGGCTTTTTATCCAAATTAACTTTAAACCAGTAATACCTGTATTTAAAAGAACAGATAGCTTAGTAGCAAAAACATTATGTATAATTACCCGCCTGGAAATTTCTTGCCACTTCAGTAAATATTCAGAAAAGTTAGTAAGGTGTATTCAGTATTTTATATTAATTTTTATTAACATTGCTAGAAGCACAAAGATATATTGTGTAAAATTTTGATCACCTTGATGAAGATAGAGAATATTGCCCTTTGTTTTGGTTGTTGCAAGTTCTTATAATCTTTTACATTCTTATTTTTCTGAGTATTGTACGTTTGGATAGTAGAAGCTACTTTTCCTTTGCTACTTATATTACACAATTTTAAAATCACCAACTGCTTTAAAGTAATCCGACATGGGACTCTTTTTGCATTTTAAATCACTCATTGTAATCAGTAAACACAAATTTTATCATTGAACCACTCTTCACACCAGTGATGATAATCTCCAACTATGTCAAGTAACATGTCTGTGCATGTCTTCATAACTGCTGTTGCTAAGGTAACATATGTTGATATGTTACAACTTGCATTTGTTGCAGGATTGAGATTTAAAGAAGCACCAAGCATGTCTAAATGCCAGATGGATACTAGACAGGGCCAGCTTCAATAAGAGTATTTGCCTGACATTGTTCTATGACCCTTTGATAAAGTACTGTTATTACTTTCTATTTGGTCCTATTTGTTTATATGTTTCCAACATTTTATATTTTATATTTACCTGTATGTTCCATAGGTTCTGTAAAAATAATGAAACTGTTTAAATAATGTTTAAATACATCAACTGTTCATCATTCAAATATTTGATTATTATGCCAATGGCTTGGAACAGATATTTATTATCTTGTAGTTGGCCGAAACTCTATTAGTTACATCTAGTGGGATTAATTGCAATATTGATGGTGTTTTTGTGTAAATTTTATGAGTGGTTCGTGTGTTATTAGAGACCCTGTAAGCCACAAAGTCAAGGACCCACAAACAATTTTATGCTTAAATAATTTTGAAATATTTGGTTAGGTAACTTGTAGAACCTATGTGGACCAACATCCATCAGTTATTCTAGGGTTAAACAATGCTCTTGTTATACCTATCTGGCTTCAGAAACAAACAATGTTTTTTATGATACAAAACTACCTAAAGAAGAATTTTTTAGTGAAAGTTTAAAGCATTATCTAATTTAATTTTGGTAAAAAATTTTGTATTTAAGTTTTTCTGAAAAAGATTTTATTCTTTCACAGCTTACACCTAAATATTAGAAGTTATTAATATAATGTACAAGAATAAAACTGTATGCACTTCTTTTTTGGTGCATATTATAATTTGAGAGATGAATGAAATAAACTCTTAGTATTTCATAAAAATCTTCGAAGGGAAATACTTATTTATTTCTAAGATCTTGAAAATGATCTAGAAAGCTTGGATTTTTTTTTTTTTCCACAGGTTTCACATCTGTACATTGTTTTGAAATATAGCATTTTAATGATTATATCATTTTTCATTCAGTTGTTGAAGACCTTTTCAAAAAACGAGAACCTTTACCGGATATGGAAGCAATATATTTGATCACACCAACTGATAAGGTAAATTTTCTTTGATAATATTTGAAATGTTTGTTTGTTGATTAAGACAGCAAAATCTTGTCTTAGATTCAATACTAGGCAAGTCTGAAATTCACTCGATAACCTCAAATCAACGAATAGAAATACAAGAATATTTTTTCAACCTCTTCCTTCTTCAAAAACAGTAAAGTGACTAGAGCATAGTAACAATATTTCATAAAACTAAGTACATCACTGATCGTGGCTGTGAATCATAGTCTTTTAGAATTTGCTTTATAGAATTTAAGGTTATTTTAATTTGTGTCTGAATTGTGCAATTCATTGGACGTTTTAGATGTTTTACAGTCTTCATCTTTTGTTTTGCAGTCTGTTCGTGCTTTGATGAGTGATTTCCAGACACCAAGTAGACACATGTATCGCTGTGCACATGTGTTTTTTACTGAATAGGATAGATCTAATATAAATATTATTATGTGATGAATATAATATTAGGATTTCTCTCTGCTTTTTCCATTACCATAGTCTCAAATTTGATGGTATTCCTGCAGAATCCAAAAATAAATTAATAAGCTTGATATTAAGATGTACATTATGTCAATTAATCCATCATAGACTAGAACAAGTATTCTGAATGATATCCTTATGTAGTATTCTGAAACTCTGAACATAGAACACTCAAGTGTATGATCACCACAGTGACAAGGATTTTGTTTACGAAAGGAAAACATGATTGGCATGTTAGTGAAATGAAAAAGACTAAAGTAACCTGCACATGAAGCTCATGCTCATTTTATTCTCATCGACAAAAAAGATGAAAACATCCTTGAATGATTCATGTCATAGTGTGTAACACCAAGAGCTGAATTAACATGTTACATAATTCAGATATACTAGGTCCATAACTGGAACTCTTGTAATATAATAAATCGTTTTTAATATATTATTTATGTATACAACTATAGGAGAGTTGGATACGTGAGGTTATTAATTTTAGGTGCTGATTTCTACCATTTTACAATATAAAGATCATTGTTGTTCAACAAATACGCTACACTATGAACTGTACTGTTTAAAGTTACGGGTTATGATTTTAAAAAATTCTAGTGTCTAAAATCGTGATAAATTACAATCACTTCCAGTAATATGGTTGGTAAGAATTATTTTATGCTTTATAAACTTTAAAACAGTGTAGGCTTTTGTTACTGTCGTGGAAGAAAACACAAATTGCATCAATAAAAACTGTGTTTTGAAAATGTTTTTTTGAGTTATATGCGAGTTCCTTCCTGTTCAATTTCTTTATATTGGATCTTTTTCACCAGTACTGGTGAGATATTTTGAAGACTGTTATCTTATTGTATTACAGAGTTTTAAGTCAAAAAAGCACAAATTGACAAGGCAGTTTTCTAGTGAAGATAAATTAAGCAAGAATTTTGTATTTTGAGTGATTACTGACATGTGCATTATAAAGACCAAAACATTGAGCTAAAACATGGTGATGTTTCTCATTGTACAGATAGGAGGCAAGAGCTTTTTTTAAAATTAATATCTTAGTTTAGTGTATCAGAAAATGCTTATTCCAGAGTTGTGCAAAACATGGGAAGGCAATTAAAAACATCTTAAGTCCACAGTATAAACTTCTATATGGCTGTGTCCACTAAGCGATATTTAAAAGGTAAAGACTCATTTTTGGCAGGTAAATTTGATCTGAATAACTTTTACCTCTCTTTGTTTTCTTTAATTTCATGAAGCATAATTATTGTTAATTACTAAGTGACTGACCATGTTCACTGTTAACTAAAAGGACAATCAGTAGTTATATTCCACACTTTTGCATATGTTTTGTGAAATGAGGAGGGACAAGCATCTCTTTAGAAAGAAGAGTTGTCTAACGTTTTACCTCTTAAATAAGTAGTTTTTTTCAAAACTTTCATAACCTTGAATATCATAGGAACGTCATGTTCTAATTTGTGTACATGGCAGAACCCAAATAGTAATGATTCACACCACATGAAGACTCGTGCACCAATGGATTTACCAAGAACGTTGCATCTTACAGTATGTTCCATCGTATGCTTTGTACTACTAGAAGTACAGTCAGTATTCAGTAGTTCTGATGGAATTGTAATTTTCTAATTCAGGTTCCTCAATCTTAAAGATTGGCAAATCTTACAAAATTTCCAGATTAAACCTCATTCTTAAGAAGTTCTTCTGGACATTCATGGAAGAAAACGTGTTCTGCCACTGTTGTTGACACACTGAATATAAACACCTCTTGCAACTTTAAGATGTTGTTCAGAGTGCAGAGGCTTTATTGACAGCATGATAGAGTACACACATACTGAAAATAGTATGATAAAATTCACTGATAATTTAATATTCTTTGTATGATTGCTGTCAATTCATATCTGTAATGATTATCATAATTTCTACATTGTAAATGTATTATTTTCCAGACAGCATCAAAGTATTGTAGGTAGAGCCTTTTGTAAAATGGGGGAAATAACTCGGACAGTATGTAAATATGTTTTAAAAAAGTGCCTGATTCGTAAGGTGCAAAATATTTGTATTTATAAAAGTTACAAAAATATTTTTTCCTTACAGCATGCCCTGATGAACTGTTCAATGAACTGTGTAAATCATCTTGTGCTAAAGTAATTAAAACTTTGAAGGAAATCAACATTGCATTCTTACCATATGAATCACAAGTAAGTAACATTGTTTTTGTTCTTATCTTGCTTCCTGACGATGAAACTTATTAAGTACACGTTCCCTATGAAAGAAATTGATTTAATGCTGCTGCTACATCATTTGCATTTGTGGAATACTAATTAGAAACAGTATCAAAAACTATGTTTAAAAAGAGTTTCATATAATGTAGAACAGTGCTTTCCAAAGTGCATGTCCTGACACCCTGAGGTGTCACGTTGTGCCCTGAGGGGTGTTGCTATGTTGTTGGAAATTGCACAAAATGTTTTGTTAAGTTTTTATTTTTATAGCCATTATAAAATTCAGTAACATAAAGTATTTTTTAATTTGCTCTCTGATGTGGCATGCAAAAAATTATCTACTGTTTTATAATTGGGGGGGGGGGTGCACACGACACTAAAAGGTTCCTCAACACAGCCTTGCACAGTGGCAAGTAAAGTGGGGAGCCCTGACGCATCAGTTTATATTAGTTTATTGTTTGCTTTCCAAACTATTTTGATGGCAACAGACTATGTACATACCACTGTAGTAGAGAATAGAATAAAGTTTTTTGATAAATAATAATATCAAAATTTATAAAATTTGAGCACTTTAAACAGGTAGACCTATCTTTGTCAAAACTGCAAGTTTTTTTTATGGGTTACCAACCTTTTTGATTCTACATTTTTTTCTTGCAATCATTAATGTTTATTTTGTATACTTTTGGCATTTGGTCAATTAGAAGTTGTTTTTTCTCTCTCTTTCTCTCTTGTACAAGTTCTTATTTTTTACCCATTTATTCTAAGTATTCTGAAGAAGCATTTTTTTTTATATTGTAATGTTTTCAACTGATTATTTAAATATGCTTCTTAAATATTTTGATAAATCATGTAAAATATTTTATTTCTTCCTCACAACTTCGTTGCTTTAATTAAAAGTTTTAATGAAACGTGTTGTTTATTGGGAGAATTTGTCACTCTTAACTCTAGAATACCAGCATGGAGTCACTATGACTCCATACCACCTGATGTTAATGATTGAAAATTTAATATCTTTGTTGGTTAAAACAAGACTTGAGGTTTTATTTTTAATTGTTGGATATGTAAAGTTTAATAGCTGATACTTTAATCAAGGTAGCTGTGTAGCCATGGAGATCAGAGTTGTGGTTGTATTTATCATAATTTCTATGTACATCCTTAAAATAAAAAATTCTAAATGCATGGAAGTCAGGAGGAAAGTCTTAAGAACCCATGAGTGAAAGCAAAGGAGAATATGTTATCTCAATCATGCTGCATCTGCCACATCCAGTACTGATGAGGCCCAGTACCAGAGTATTCATCAGGCCTGCTTGGATCTGACAGACATAGTAGTGGTCTAGACACTATATATGTCATCATGAACAGTTACTGTTATAGTGTAAACCAGATTAACGTAGTAAATTGTAATCATCATTCTAGTTACTCTGTACAGATTTACCGATGATGTGTTTGGAGTATGGAATTCTAGTTTAGAATCACATAAGCACCCATGAATTCCTTAACAAAGTTGACGCTTTCATCGAGTTTACACTCCCTTATTTAACACCTAACAAACCACTACAATTTTTAGATATTGCCATTCACAGTGAAAATGGCAAAAGTTTCAATAAACTTTCCACCAAAGTTCTGTAACTCCATTACATCAAAATGTTGTGTAGTTTTATAGGAGATAGATTTAAGGCAATAAAAGAATTGATAACCCTTCTACAGAAATATTATTATCTAAAAACTACATTTAAAAAATCATTATTGTTGTAACCTGTTCTATTGTTGGGCAGATTTTTTTGGGGGGATTATTTGGTAAAAATCCTAAATCCAGTCCACATAACAATAACAAATTCATTTATTTCTTCAATAATGTTTATTTATTTGTAGGCCTAACTTAAACAGAAATTCCAAGACTAATGGTACAATGCCTAACCTACTTAGCTTAGATCAACAAACAAATGCAGAAACTCACCAACTTACCAAGTAGCTGGATAACAGATTAGACCTGATAGCTCTCACTTCTAACACTGAAATAAATCTTTTTTTTGAATACTTATTCACTTTCTTGTATTTAGATAATTACATCATCATCATTACCTCCTTCCAGCAAACATCTAAATTAAAACATTGAAAAAAAATGTAAAAATTTATAAGAACAAAGAAATTAGAGTTTTTCCAAGGCACGTACGTACATACATCAGTCACATATCTAATCAAGTTCTGTGAGTAGTATCATACATAACTAACAAACTTGACACAATATGAATTTTTTGTATCAGAAAGTTTAAGTTAAATGACGTTTAACATGGTAAATATTTCAAGACATTATATTGTGTTGTTAATGTGCAGGCATTTCATGTGTTTTCTACCTACTTTAGCAATGAAAAAATCTTTAAAATGTTTTTGGCTTTTTTAGTTTCTGTGCTGTAATGGAAGCAATACTTGCTCCAGAAAATCATTAAGATTACCCTGGTCAAGTTGCTTTGTAGGTAATGTCTATTGTCCCAAGAGAATATTGTAGTGACATATAGGATCTAGGGTAAAAGGATTGGTAGTTTAATATCCTCGGCTGACGAAGTATGATATTGACTAAATTTAATAGTTGACCAATGTTGTACGAGTGCAAAGGTCATGTGGTAATGCTGTCGATTAGACAAAGAAAGTGAGTTTACCTGTTGAACTCGGGTGCATTTTCTTTGAGCGTTTCTACTAGGAGATTATATAGCAAAGACTTAATTTTTTAAGATCATCATGTTTAGTTCAGTGGAAGTCTATCCTGTGAGAGAGAAAACTGTAGGACTAAGCACAGCCTTGTAGAAGCAACTGTCTTTTTGTGTGCATGAGTAAATATAGTACATTTTCTTTTTGTTTATTCAATAATAAAAATTATTTAAAAATTTTATCACCTTTGTTCAGCCTCATTATTTTACACACGTACAGTAATAAGACTCGTTAAGTGACCAGAATCACTTTCCTTATTTATTGAACAAATCAGCAGTTATTTGTAGATCCGTCTATCTGATACTTGCTGGGAAATCAGTGGTTTTTATCTGAAAATACAACAATGTGGTAGTTTTTGATAATTTTAATAGTTATTTTAAAAAAATTAAATCAATAGATAAGATTATTAAATTGACTGAATGTAGTCAAGTTTAACTTGTGTATCTGCTGGATCTTTACAGATTATTCAAGAAATTGAAGAGCAGTTTCAAAACATTGAGAGTGCTCTTTCAAGTTGGATATTTTTAATTTGGTTAAATAGTTAAAAACATAATATTATGTTATTCTTCTTCATTCATTTACCCATGCTAACTGACTAACTTTTATATATATATCTATTATTGATCATTAATATTGTTTAATAATGTTATTTTAAACAATATATAAAGTGTTTGATAGTGGTTTAGAAATCCACACTGTCTGTAATGAGATACTCCTAACTATCAGATGATTTAATCAGATGCTATTATAATATTTCTAGGATAAGACTTGTAAAGAAGTCTGGAAGTGAAGTGTTGGCTTGTGATATATTTATTTTAAAATGTAATAAACTCCAGTTAGCCTCCAAGAAAATGAAGAATACATGATTATGTAGTATTGTTATTTCTATATCTCTTCATTCGTATTAAACAGCATTCCTAAGTGATAGTAAATGATCATACAAATTTATTTTTAAGTGTTATAGAGAAATTGACTTAGCTATTTACAGCTGTGAAGAAAAATTGAACTTTGTGAGTTTGGATTTTTTCACAAATACACACTTTCAAGCCTCAGAATCCAATGAATTGTTTCTTACACTTCACAAAACTGTAAGTATAAGAGTGAGTTAATGTGTGTATTTGTCTAGTAACTTGTAGGTTTTAATAGCTAGAACATTTAATTTTTGTTAGGTGTTCTCTTTGGATACTCCCGAAACTTTTCAATATTACTACAACCCTGCAAGGGCTACTCTTCGCTCTGCTAAGTTGGAGAGAATTGCCGAGCAAGTGGCAACGTTATGTGCTACATTGGGAGAGTATCCTTCAGTCCGATACAGAAGGTACTTAAGTTACACATTTTCAAGTTTCCAGATTTTATAAAGCTGGTATTACAGAATTTTATGTAATTTTCCTAACACAGTTTTTTTTTTTCTTAAATTGTAGTGTTCATCTGTTTTCCAGGTAATTTTGTACTTAAAGGAATAATTCTCTTAAGTAATCCAAATATATGCTACACAGGTATAAATTATGACATAGGTTTTTAATTATCTTTTCACACACACATATGTTACTTTTTTTTTATCAGAGTTAAGAGCGTATGTGTTGAGTAGTTGTCACGAGTTAAGCCTTCATTGACAAAATTATAAAAACATACACATAGCTATTCTTGTCTACTAATAAATGTTTATTTTTTTTGTAATCTGTGTACGTAAAACGTAGGACTGTTATATAGGTACACATGTTATGACTTAAGATTATATTTGATGCATATGCAAAACATAATGCTACATCAATGTACCAGTATTTTATCACATTGAACATAGAAAGGGTTAAATGCTCTACAGTTTAAAAAAAA